GGAGCAAGCTAGTAGAAGAGCCAAACAAGAAGCAATCAGAAAAGACAACGAAGTTTCTAGGCTCGAAATGGAAGAAAAGCGCCAGAAAAGTAACACAACCAAGGAGAAAAGTGGGGTTACTTTATCCGACCTCAAATCTGCGGAAAGAACTAGGCCAACCGATAATCCTCAAACGGTAGAATCGGCCCGATTGACCCCCAAAGGTTATAATCTGATCTCAGGTAAATCACAACTGGAAGAGCTACTGAAGCCTATAAATTATCAAGATCACAACTCAGACGTAAATTCGGATATTATTGGTCCTCCTCCATCCTTCTCAAAATTAAGAATCGCCTCACCCACTAATAAAAAGGGATTTTCCGAAGATCCAGCTCTTTCTAGTTCCCAATACACTGATTTCATTGCACAACTAAACCTACTTAGGGATCAGCTGGCTCGAGAGCGGATTCATGTCGAACAAGCCTTAGGAGCTAGTCTTGATGCAGAGGAGCCCGAAGTCTACGATCCTCGGCTGGGAGAATTTCCTTCAAAAGCTGGAGGGACCTGGGGTGAGTGGAGTGATGATGATCATACAATTGTCGAGATGGACAAGGCTAAGGCTTCTCGAATTTTTGATTCAGCAGTGAAGAGCAAGTCTAAATCATTAAGGGCCTTGGCCTCGCTAAGTGCATCTAATATAAATCAAGACGCTAACAGCTCTAGAGATCATCCATCTGCCAACCTTGATCTAATCGAAAAAGAGCGCAACAAATTTATCAGAAGGGAGCAGAAAACGCGCGATCTAGAAATGCAACAGCGAGAATATTTGGATGCACAAGACACTTACTTAGCTCAAATAAACGATGAGTTAATTAAAGGATCGGGAAAAAAATCACACCATCCCAGACAGAACGAAATATTCTCTCAAATCGAATCGGATTCCAAATTCGTAGATCTGGACAGCTCAATGGAATTTGAGGACCCAAGGAAAAAGATTCAGAGAGACAAAACCAGGATAAGGCCGAAAAAATTAAGTCTTTCTGAACTAGAAATAGTAAATTCCAGAAGGCTTGCGCTCCTTGGAGAAGGCAAAAGGCAGGAGTCAAATAGAGATAATTTTGATTTTTCAACAGGAAACGAAACCGAAACTGATACGTCGGATCCTGAACTTGTTCTGAATAAATTCCTGAGCTATCAAAGAGATGGGAAGGTTATCGGCAGTGATGATTAGCGACTGCGTCTTCTAGGAAGCGGAAGCCTTTTGAGCCTAGCATATCTTTGTACATTTATATTTCGATCGCTATCTTTCATATTTTATATTCTGACCCATTTCTTTTTTGTGCTGAGTACTGTACCTTATAAATTCCATTACGGATGAATCTAGCGTATCGTTCTTTTAGTTACTATTGATATTTAAGTGCTTTACTATCGAAGTGCCTAGAATGAAGCGATATATGCATGCACATGAAATGAAATACACCTACTTACAATTAACTGTCCATTTTTGTTAAATCGACATCAGATGAACCGATTTGGAAAAATTAGGTTTCAGATCCGAGTGCCACAAGCCAATTAATGATTATTTTATGCTGGATACAACTTACCGTCATTGAAAAAATATCTAACGCGTAGATACATATTAATTTAATAGATATAGCTACATCGGTCGTATGCCCAACTAAGAAGAGAACCTAACGACCGTTCTGTATCTTAAATTATTCAGATTAGGTTATAAATTTACATTAGATGCTAAAACCTGGCATTGAACTAAACACTCAGCTAGTACTCGTTAGCTTTATTGTATTGTACATTGGTCCTAGCCTCTTAGGCCAGAGCACTAAAAACTTTTGTTAGGCAGCATCGCAGCCACCCCATGAGACAGTAGGTTTAAGCTAATAAAATGGTAATATTGGTTTATTAACAAGGTAAAAAGTCAAAGCAGAATATCCGCATCAATCAACTTCAGGAGACTAGTCTACTAAATAGGCCTATTGCGAAATATAATCAAATTATGAAGGCGATCAATGCTGGCACGTCACCGGATGCAACGCAGAGAATAATTAATTTGGGAAGTACGAACTGTGTCTAATGGCTTTCAAAAAGCTAAGTAGTGTGAATCTATGCCTTGTAGGTGTATATGCCGATCACAGAAATACCTAGCAGATACAGAAACTCAGAAATGCAAGCCAATTGACTGACGCGCACAAGTGCACCTACCCTGACTTCTGAGCTGAGTAGTGGGCCCGCAAAAAATCCCAAAATAAGCCTTGGGCTCACTAGTAATA